TGTTGAAAGCCAGACTGGGGAATGACTTCTCCATCCGGAGAGATGAGGGTAAACTTCCGGGATGCTCTGGGTCCAGAGATGGATTTGAAACATGCAAAGTTAATCAAGCAGCTCAGATGGGAGCTAGGCTGTTGCCTGAATGGAGACAGGCAGTAAGAGCCAAAACCAAGAGTCTGGCACTTGGGGGCAAATAGTTTGGCATTGGAGACAAGGGGAAAAGAGGCAAGAGGGTGGGACCTAAGATTATGAAGGTCTTATATGGCATACTAAAAAATGCAGATTTTTTTTCCGTTGGCCATTGGTCTGCTTTTGAAGCATACCAACTAGAAGAGTCATGTAATCATATTTGTATTTTCTTGGGATAATGGAGGAGAAAGAAAAGGCTATCGCGTTCAGGAAATTGTCACCATACCCAGGGAAAAAATGTAGGTCAGAAGAGGGTCGGAGAGACGAGTGTACCTCACAAGTGATTTTGTTATACCCAGAAGAGTTTTGGGACCCCACCTTTCATTTCTTCCCTGTGCTCATGTTAACAAGGTATTGGAGCAGCTGCATCAAAAGTGTGGAGACATTGATTCAGAATGCTCTTGGTGTCTTCAGAGGGAGTGAGGACAGAGTTCTTCGTGCTGCTTTTATTCCATTTGGAAACATCACAGATATTCTGATTCTACTGTATTACGAAACAGGTGACACTGAAATTATGTCAGATTCCTTCATGTCAGATTCCCAATGCCAGGAAAAGAACTTAGGAAAAAATTTTAAGTCATGTGCATTCTGTGTATGGCTGGTATATAATGAAGTTCAGGGGGGTATCTCTTTAGGTCAGTATGATGGTGATCTTGGAGATGGAAAAGGAAGATTCTGAGGACAGTAGGGCTAGGATGATGGTGTGGCTATGGGTTGAAATTTACAAAAATTAATCTGTTGGATTTGAGGGTAGACTTTCTAAGTTGGAACCATTTGGGGGCATTGATTTCTGATCATTTAATATAAAAAGTGTATAGTAAGAATCAGTAGGAGGATAGTTTCAGAAAAAAAAAATTTTTTTTTTTGGGGACAGAGGCTTGCTCTGTCACAAGGCTGGAGTGCAGTGGCGCGATCTCTGCTCACTGCAACCTCCGCCTCCTGGGTTTAAGCGATGTGATTCTTCTGCCTCAGCCTCCTGAGTAGCTGGGACTACAGGCATGCACCACGACACCCAGCTAATTTTTGTATTTTTAGTAAGACGGGGTTTCACCATGTTGACCAGGATGGTGTCGATCCCTTAACTTCATGATCCGCCAGCCTCGGCCTCCCAAAGTGCTGGGATTACAGGTGTGAGCCAACCTCACTCACCTGGCCTGAATTTTGCAAAGTTTAAAATTGGTGCATTGTTTAGCTATATTTATTTAAAATGAAATGACTTATTTCTGGATGCATTGCTGAATAAACCAAGAAAAATCTAAAAATTTGATTTTCATTTTGTAAATGATATCTGGATATGGCATGCTTCCTCCTATTGCTCACATATTAACAACCCATTTCTGCTTTTGCAGAAAAGCACCAAGGATTCTCTTTTGTTGAATTTGAGTTGGCAGCAGTAAGAAGTTTTCCTTTCAACGTTTGACTAGTGTCACTCTTGTCATTGATTACAAATGGTGTCAGTCTGTTTGAATGGATGTGGTAGTTTCCTTGGGCTGTCATAACAAATTACCACAAACCTGGGTGGCTTACAACAACAGAAATTTATTATCTCACAGCTCTGGAGACTAGAAGTGTAAAATCAAGGTGTTGGCAGGGCTATGCTCTCTCCGAAGGCTCTAAGGTAGACTCTTGCCTTGCCTTCCTGGCTTCTAGTGGCTCCTCACAATTCCTTGGCTTGTAGTATCACTTTAGTCTCTGCCTCTGTCTTCACATGGCTTTCTTCCTTGTACGTATTTCTCTCTGTCTTCTGCTCTTATAAAGATACCAGTCTTGGGAGGCAGAGGCAGGTGGATCACCTGAGGTCAGGAGTTCAAGACCAGCCTGACCAACATGGAGAAACCCCATCTCTACTAAAAATACACACAAAAAAATTAGCTGGGCATGGTGGTGCATGCCTGTAATCCCAGCTACTCAGGAGGCTGAGGCAGGAGAATCACTTGAACCCTGGAGGCAGAGGTTGCGGTGAGCCGAGATTGCACCATTGTACTCCAGCCTGGGCAGTGAAACTCTGTCTCCAAAAAATGATAATAAATAAAAAAGATGCCAGTCATTGGATTTACCGTCTATCATATAACTGCATAACAATTCAGTATGACCTTATCTTAACTAATTACATCTGTGAAGACTCTACTTCTTTTGAGACAAGGTCTTGCTTTGTCATTCAAGCTGGAGTGCAGTGGTGTGATTATAGTTCACTGCTGCCTTAAACTCCTGGGCTCAAATGCTCCTGCTGCCTCAGCCTCCCAAGTAGCTAGGACTATAGGTGCACACCACCATGCCTGCCTAATTTTTTAAATTTTTGTAGAGATGGGGGTCTCACTATATTGCCCAGGCTCATGTTCAACTCCTAGCCTCAAACCATCCTCCCGCCTCAGCTTCCCAAAACTTTGGGATTCTGAGGTTTAGGCAGACATTAATTTTGGACAATGCTATTCAACCCATTATAGTGGCTCAGTAGTGGCTTTTGCAGAGAAACGGGAAGTTCTGGTTGAAGGATGGCCCACCAGGCCTGGCTCAGAGTTCCCTTCCTGTATTCAGAGTATAGAAGACAGGTCTTGCAGAGGCCTGAGACCTCTGGCCTGGCATTGCTTGTTCCTGTTTTACTGTGTGTATTCTCTCTCTCCATCACCTGGGCACACATCCGTATACCACCAGCTCTAACAGGCAGTACACTCTTAGTAAAATACAGTCTAGGCAAGTAAGAGGGGAAATTGTGTCTTTTTTTGTGCTACTGAGTTATTATTTGAACACATAAGAAGAGTTGAACTATAGGCATGAACTTTTTCCTTGTATATTTTTGGCAGGATATTGCTGCAGCTGTCAACAATGTAGTAATGGCTGAGAATCTTTGTTTTTTACTGAAGCTGTTATTTGGTGCTACTTTTTGGGGTAGGGAATGTGCCTATTGTGTTTCCAGTTTCCATAGTTTCTTTTCTTTTTTTTAATATATATTTTTTCATTAAACCAAAAACAACAATTTCCATAGTTTCAAAGTTCTGTAGCAATCACAGGTCATCATTATTTGAAATAATTCACTGTGAACTGGCTACTTATAAAATTAATTCCTTTTTTTTTTTGAGACTGAGTCTCACTGTATCACCCAGGCTGGAGTGCAATGGCGTGATCTCGGCTCACTGCAACCTCTGCCTCCCAGGTTCAAGCGATTCTCCCGCCTTAGTCTCCCAAGTAGCTGGGATTACAGGTACCCGCCACCACACCTGGCTGATTTTTCTATTTTTAGTAGAGATGGGGCTTTACCATGTTGGCCAGGCTGGTCTCGAACTCCTGACCTCAAGTGATCTGCCTGCCTCAGCCTCCCAAAGTGCTGGGATTACAGAAAATTTAATTCTTAACCAGACATCCTTCTCATTTCACACTTGTGTAAATACCAACCACCTTTGTTGGCCAATCTCTTCTTGACTGTTTTGCAGAAGTCAGCAAACTCCAGCCTGTGGGCCAAATGATCCCACAGTCTGGTTTTGGTATTTTTAAATTTTATTTTATTTTTATTTTTGACACAGTCTCGCTGTATTACCCAGACTGAAGTGGAGTGCAGTAGCATGATCTCGACTCAGTACAACCTCCACCTTCCTGACTCAAGCCAGTCCTCCCACTTCTGACTCCCAGGTAGCTAGGACTACAGGTGTGTGCTTCCATGCCTCACTAGTTTTAGTATTTTTTTGTTTGTTTTGAGACGGAGTCTCACTCTGTTGCACAGGCAGGAGTACAGTGGCACGATCTCAGCTCATTACAACCTCCGCCTCCTGGATTCAAGCAATTCTTCTGCCTCAGCCTCTCGAGTAGCTGGGATTACAGGCACATACCACCCTGCCCAGCTAATCTTTGTATTCTTAGTAGAGACGGGGGTTTAACCATGTTGGTCAGGCTGGGCTCGAACTCCTGACCTCATGATCCATCTGCCTCGGCCTAACAAAGTGCTGAGATTACAGGCATGAGCCACTGGGCCCCGCCAATCCATCTTTGTTTCTACAAGCAAAGGACATAGCTGTAATTATAACCTCAGTCTTACTAAATTAAGGAATCTTTTTTCATAGAACTTTTAGTTCTCACGAAAAGGCCCAAAACTTCTTTTGAAGTACCAGTTGTTCTTGGCTAATGAAATATTTCTACACTTCATTCCATGTTCTTTGTTAGGGCTTCATCAAACATGCCCCTCAGCAGTCAACAATAGCATTTTTTCTCCAGTCCAAAGCTGACCTTGACTTTATAAGGTAGACTCAGGTACTTGGTAACTGCATTTACCCTTATAATTTTAGAGAGTCCTGAACTCAAATCCAAAGATCTTGCCAGCACAGAGCTTCCTGTTTGTTGGTATTGAAGGAAGTGCATGGTAGCTCCAGGGCATTCTAGTGGTTAGCTTTGTGCTTAGCCTGCTTATGGGGTGCAGGTTCCTGGGCTTGGAATCACAAGCAGGTCTCAGGCTCCTGGGAAGTAAATGGAAGACTGTCAGGTATTCTTTCAACCTAACAGGTTTAAGTAGCTGAGTTGTATTTCAGTCTTTTCAGAATGAATCTGAGCTCTTTGGGTGGATAATTTGTCATTTTAGCCAAACCAATGAGAGTTAAGGAAGGCTCTTCCAGACCAGGTGAGTGGGAACAACTCACAGATTCCCTGTCATGTCCACAGCTTTGGCCTTGGCTACCTTTTTTATTTTTGGATAGAGTCTTACTCTGTTGCTCAGGCTAGAGCGAAGTAGTGTGATCGCAGCTCACTGCAACCCCTGTCTTCTAGGTTCAATTGAGTCTTATGCCTCAGCCTTGCAAGTAGCTGGGATTACAGGCATGCACCACCACACCTGGCTAATCTTTGTATTTTTAGTAGAGACAGGGTTTCACCATGTTGGCCAGACTGGTCTCTGATCCACCTCCCTTACTTCCTCTTGTAGTGATGGTATGAACCCAAGTAGAGTGGTTTATAGTGGAGAAGAGACTGTAGCACCTCCATGGAAATAAAAAAATGAGTTTGAGATTCTTAGTAAAGGTGGAGGCACTGCCCCATGTGAAAGACTAGCTTTTGGACACAGTCACAACTATGCCCTGTCAGCCTTGACACAGGATGGGACATTCCTTTTGGCTTGATTTAGTTCTTCCTCCTTATTCTCATTCACTTCTGTTAAGAGCTGGACTTAAGGCCTGACATTTCCCAGTGGCAACTTGTCTTGTTCTAAGAGGGAACTTCTGACTATGAAAGCCTACTTAGTGAGCCCACTTTGTTGGCTAAAGCAGTGAAGAACTGGACATAGCTAATTAGCTATTGGCTGATGGCTTGAATTTCTTAACATTCATTTGATTCCTTCCTTTCAGTTTGGTCAGATGAAGACTGGGCGGAGAAGTTTTCTGGGAAGAGGATGAAAAGAAAGATGGTTCAGAACCTCCCAAAGTGGAAAGCCAAGAGATGAGAATGAAAGTTCATGCTTCCAGAGGAGAGGCTGCTGCTTTCCACCCAAGGAACTGAGGTGAGTGGTGTTGGGTGAATTGAAAGGAGAAGTTTTGGGTTTCTGATCTAGGTGAGAAGTACCTTATGTGGGCTCAGGGATTTGTGATTGCTGCTGAGTGAGGCAAATATCTGAGATGAGAAAGGGTGGTGAGTACTCCCCATCACCAGCATCCACTGTCCTAGTCTTTGGCAGCAGGCTCACTGTCTTCCTGTTCCTGCCCTGATTCCAAGGGGGCAGAATCATGTAGAGGTCCCTTCCCCTCAGTCACTATGCAGGCACAAGGCTCTCCCCGCCCTCTGTACTTGCTTCTGCTTCTCCATTAGACCATCCTGACTATTGCTTCCCAGGATAACTTGGGGGCTCCTCCTCCTCTGTCCACCCTTGAGCAGTGATATTTTCCTGAATTCCTTTCTTAGCCTTTAGCTCCTCTCTCCACATTATCCTTGTGCCATGCCAGCCACTTCTATCGCCTAAGGTTATAACGATCATTCATTGTCCAAGTGATATTCTGATCTCTATCCCTAGCCCTGACCTTTCACATGTTTCTGTCTGGAAGTCTTATAGGCACCATAAATAAAGCATATCCCAAACGGTTGTCATCACCTTTCACTCTTGTCTTCCTTTATGCCCAGTCTTGGTTCACTTTGCCGTCTTCAACATAGTCACACCCAAACCAGATTCCCCAGTCCCATCTTAGACCCCTCACTATATTTCATACCTAATACATTGCCATACCCTGCTACTTTTATCTTTTAAATCTTGCATTTCTCCTCTCCAGTTTTTTTCTGCCGCTGTTGTCTTGGCTGAGGCCTTATCCTCTCTCCTGTGAATAATTGGAGTAGCTTCCTAACTGGTCTACCTGCCTCAGGCCTGCTCTCCTCCTGTCCTCAGCAGCCAGAGGGAGCTTTCTGAAGGGCTGATCTGACTATACCACTCTCCTCATTTATAGGATTGACTCCAGCCTCCATCAAAAGAGACGGAAGGCCTCTCTGTGTTCTGACCCCTGCTTATCTCTCCACATTTTATCCCCATTTTTTTTCTAGGAAACAAGAGTTTGGGCCGGGTGCGGTGGCTCAAGCCTGTAATCCCAGCACTGTGGGAGGCCGAGGCGGGTGGATCACGAGGTCAAGAGATCGAGACCATCCTGGTCAACATGGTGAAACCCCGTCTCTACTAAAAATACAAAAAATTAGCTG